TGTAACGTAAGTTATAAGATAAGAAAATATGGGCTTACATGTATTTGCGGATATATATATATATATGAATAAGGTATGATATATGTTTATGTAAAACCATGCAAAGTGATAGGAGAAGGGAACTACATGATTATGTGATCATATGAGAATAAAATAAAGAGCCATGTGATCTATGCCATGAGATATATGAAAGAAAAAGTATATGTGATAAGTGAAAGTGAAAGTGAATCATATGATTATATAAAGATGTTCTACGTGCAAGTGATCTACGTGTATGTGTGATTTATATGGAAATGAACTACTTGACTACGTGTGATCTTATAAAAATGTAATAAAAAGACTATGTGTATATGTGAATGTGTGATAACATAAAGATTAATGCCCATGTTATGTGTCATGAGAGCTAGAGGTATAGTTGGCATGCCAAGAGTCGAGGGTCTACGCGGTCCTTCGGGACATATATGTATTCTTCGGAACATGTGTGAGGTCTTTTGAGACATATACTTGATACTTGGCATATGTATATGATTCTTAAGGAATGATATGTGGTCCTTAGGGACAACCTTATATGGCACTTCGGTGCATTTCTACGTGGCACTACGGTGCAATTCTACGTGGCACTTCGGTGCATTTATACGAGCTGTGGTGACAGCATTAGTGCACAACCTCTATAAACTCACATATCTATAGTTCTCAGAAATGTACATGGGCTAGACAAAGATATAACAATAAATATATTACATGTGAAAAATATGCTTTTGTGATATATGTTGATATGTGTATTGCACGAGTCATATGATGATATGTGTATTGTTTGGTTACACGAAGCATATGTTGGTTAACAAGGTTAAGTTCAAGAGGATATGATCAACACATATAAATGATAGTAATATGGATAGTGAAATAAGGCTAATGATAGAAATGATGAGTGAGGAATATATGTGTGTATATGTTTTTATATGTAATGATATATATATATTGCATATGTGTTACAGGGATTTGTTACATGAATAAGGGTATGAGTGATAGTAGTAATGGTTCATACATGATTACAAGCTATAGTTTATATTTTATGTTTATTGCCTCACTAAGTCATCGACTTAGCGTGTGATTATTTCACACGTAGGTTACCAAAGTGAGAAGAGTAAGCAATGTGGAGCAAGACAGGTCAGTTCTTCTTACCAAAGGTCAGATCAAAGGAAAGGTGAATAATATGTATTTTAATACATAAATTTCTAGTTGACATGTATTCAAGATAATATATTGTATAAGCTCTGAATAGTTCGATAAAGGTTTTGAATAAGTTATATGTAATAATAAATTTTAAATTACTCACTATTTTATACAAGTAAAGGTTTTTGAAAAGTCAATGTGACACTTCGAACTCGGATCCGGGTCGGATACGGGTTGGGGTGTTACATGCTACAAAGCAAGATTGGTTGTCAAAGGCTTTCGGCAAAAAAAAAAGGTATTGACTACAATGAAATTTTCTCTCCAATCGTAAAATTGTCTACAATCAGACTGGTGTTGAAAATTGTAGTTGCAGAGAATTTACATCTTGAGCAGTTAGATGTAAAGACAACTTTCCTTCATGGTGATTTGAAGGAAGAAATCTATATGAGGTAGCCAGAAGGCTTCATACAAGCAGGCAAGAAAAATCTGGTATGCAGGTTGAAGAAGAGCTTGTATGGTTTAAAACAAGCTCCTAGACAGTGGTACAAGAAGTTCGATAGCTTCATGAGTAGCAGTGGTTTTACCATATGCCAAGTAGATCATTGTTGCTACATTAAGAGGTTCGACAACAGCTTCATTATTTTATTATTGTACGTTGATGACATGCTCGTTGCAGTCTCAGACATGCAAGAGATTATATACTTGAAGCAAAAATTGTCGAAGCAGTTTGCTATGAAGGATCTGGGCGCTGCAAAGCATATTCTTGGGATGAGAATTAAGAGAAACACAAAGTCGAGGACTTTGATGTTATCACAGGCTGAGTACATCAATAAAGTACTCTTCAGGTTCAACATGCAAGATGCTAATCCAGTAAGTACACCTTTAGGTGTTCATTTTAGACTCTCCAAAGAACAATCACCAAAGACGGAGGAAGAACGTGCATACATGGTGAAGGTGTCGTATGCCTCAGCAATTGGAAGTCTGATGTATGCCATGGTTTGTACCAAACCAGATATTGCTCAAGCAGTGAGAGCTGTTAGCAGGTACATGAATAATCCGGGCAAGGTAATTAACGAGTAATTTCCCTATAACCAGATTAGTGAGAAAGCGAAATAAAAGCGGAAAAATAATACCCGAAATTGATAACGGAGTTCAGCCAATATGCCTACGTCTCCGGAATGCTGTAGATCTTTTACTACGAGAGAAAATTTACAGGTGTTCACAAAACACTCACTACTCATAAGAAAGCGAGAAAGAAATAATTTGGGATGATTTTAAAGCTAAATGGGTAAGAGTATTTATAGTTAAAATTTAGGGACTAATCTTATAAATATCCTAAAATATGCAGTGACTAAAATGTAATTAAACCCAAAAAAATAATAAATGCACCAAATTCGATATCAACCCACCGAATTTGGCGCCCCTAATTTAAACTTCCAAGCCCCCCAATTTGACTTTTCTAACAGTTTGAACATCTGTTACCTCTCCAAATATGTCTACGACTGGCAACAATCGAAGGACCACTCCCAACATTGACAGAGGATAGTATCGGATGGGCAAAACGAGATGGCCTACAGTTCTCAATCAAAACAACATATGAAATGAGAGAGGGATCCGGAAACATAACCCATGAGTCGATAAAGTCATGCAATGCAATCCAAAAAGTGAAAGTATTCCTATGGCTAATCTGTAAGGGGAAAATATTGACGAACGCAGAGAGAGTACGTTGACATCTCACAGAGGACAGTAAATGTCCCATATGTGCAGCTCGACTTGAGGATGCAGACCACCTTCTTCGACAATGTAAGGTAATACTACCCATATGGAGGGTTTTGGTTAAATAAGAGAAAACCCATGAATTTTTCACGATGGAAATGAGAGAATGAGTGAGGCTAAACATCACACAACCAAGCTATTTTGCCAAAGACCCTAAAGATTGGGACCACTTGTTTGGTTCTATCATATGGAATACCTGGCTAGATAGAAACGCGGTGGTTTTCGATAACCCATTGGAGGATAGCCGAAGCATTCTTGATAGAAGCAGAAGGCTTGTGGAACTAATGCACAAAGCAATAGAAAAGAATGAACAGCCACAAAGCTTAAGGATGGACAATATGAATAGAGCTTACCAGTGGATGCCACCACCGGAAGGGTGGTACAAAGCTAACACGGACGAAGCTCGGAAGAAAACAGATGGTAAAGCTGCATGTGGGGGATTGATTAGAGGACTAACTGGAGAATGGAAACTGGGATTCAAAAACATTCGTAGGAATATGTTCAGTTATAGAGGCGGAAATGTGGGGTGTATACATCGGACTGCTGTTCGGATGGGACAACGGAATACAATAACTGATCGTCGAGATAGATAGCTTAGTAGCGCTCAACGCAATAAAGAAGAACACGGACAGACACGATCGTTATCGATAATTTCACACATAAGCAGGCTAATCCAGCGGGCATGGGTGGTCAGATTACAACACGTGCATAGAGAAGGTAACAGAATCGCAGACAAGCTGGCGAAAGTGCAAGTGTTGAAGACGCTCAAACAAGAATCTTGTTGAAACCTCCTGTGGAAATAACTCTCCTCTTGCATGAGGAAGGAATCTCAGTTTAGGCAGTAGTTAGTTTTCATTTTTCTACAAAAAATAAATAAATAACCATCATGCCAATCGAGTTATGATTTAAGGTAAATTTGACAATTTATTGAAAGAATTTTAATTTATTGAAGAATAATAATTTTAATGATTTAATATTTTAACTATGTTTGATAATCCAAAATTAAAACTACTTATTATATTTTATTAATGAAAAATATTAAATAGATAAATCTTTATCCCTCAAATGTAGAATATTTTTACACTTTTTATTTATTTATTTTAACTATATTATCTTTTAAATTTTACATTTATCAAATAATCCAGTCATAATATTATAGTCCTCAACATTTATCAAACAAATTTATAATTTAAATTTAACACATAAATTTAATTATTTAATTATTCAACATTTAATATTGTTATTTTTTCATACAACACCTTAATCAACAATTTTTATCTCATTTTAAAATGAAATAATTAATTCCTGTAAAAAAACTTTTTTATTAAAAAAATAAGTATTCCAACAATCACAATTTCAGTTTTTTATTAGATTAAGGTGAATACAATGTAGTATCTGTTCAAAGACTCTCAACCATTTGACATCAAACGCTCATACACTCAGCATATGTAGTACTCGAACCTAAAACCTAAAAAAATAGCAACAATTACTTAATAAATAATTTCATCTTTTAAATGACATGATTTCCAAGTTGTGTAAAGCAAAGAAAGTCAATGACTTGCTAGATCTATAGAAGCATATATAAAATAAAGTGAACGACTGGCAAGATCTGTAGAAGCATTGTTTCCATTTACAAAGTAAACTCATATATTGTTGATCATGCTTCAATTAATGCTTGCTTGCAATTCTTTTTTCCCATAAGCTGCATGTGTTCTATGCAACATGTGAATTCTAGAGTCTTCCAGTTTTTGGGATAAACCAAATGTTGATATGTGTTTACGTGTATCAGTTGCGGATTTTTAATCTAAAATCCGGGTTAAGATCGGATCGGATTGAGATCAGATGAAAACTTTCAATTTTTGAGTCGGATTCGATGCAGTCTGTGTCCGTCTCTATACGCTAGTGTGTTGCAACTTGAGGGATAAAATATAACAAGGAGGAGGGGTTATCAAAGAAACTAAGCAAGTCAACGGCATAAACATGTGCTTCTTTTGCTGATCTGGAAGCAAGTCTTCTTCAAGCTAAGATTCTCCGGGTATATGTACGTGCATAAGGTAAGTTGATTTTTTTCAGAATTTGTTAGTGCAGCAATGGAGTTAGCTAGAGTTATCTTTTCTGGGATATTGATTTCATTGCTTATCAATATGGTGGTAGCTGCGTACTCATCACCCTGCAAATTCAAAGCCATTTACAACTTCGGCGATTCAAATTCTGACACCGGAGCTATATCGGCCGCCATTTTCCCCCGCCAATGGCCCAACGGTGAAACTTTCTTCGGAAAACCAGCAGGAAGAGTCTGTGATGGCCGACTTATGATTGATTTCATTGGTATAATTTTCAACATGGAAATTTAAAACATCATCAACTTTGTAGATTAACGGTCGATCAAAGTTCACATGAACTGCCTTTTGTTATATATATGCAGCTGCACGCCTTGGATTACCGTTCTTGAGTTCATACTTGGATTCCATTGGATCAAACTTCCGGCACGGCGCGAATTTTGCTTCGGGTGGATCAACCATTGTTCCTCAGAACAAAACCATAGCCGAGAGTGGATTAAGTCCATTTGCACTTAATGTTCAGATTTTCCAGTTCGATCAATTCAAGGCACGAACTGCGGATCTTTATCGAGGTTGAGATTCGAACTTTTGATCTTGTTCCAACTTAAACTAATTCATGCTAAACTTTGGAAAATTTGTTTGTTTTTGATGTCCAGAAAACAAAAAGTATTCATGCCGGAACCAGTTTCTTCCAAGATCTAAGGAGTTCGCGGATGCACTCTATGTGTTTGATATTGGGCAAAACGACATTGCTTATGGTCTGCGGACGGTTGGTGATGCGCAAGTTCTTGCGTCAATTCCCGATATGATTACCCAACTGGCTTTAGCTGTCCAGGTAAATTGCTCTCTTCTTATTGAACTCGTATAGAGATCGAACCCGATCCATGAACATCTCTATTAAACGGAGATTGATCGAATCCGAATTGTTACGGATTAACTTAAATTAATGAATTAACTACATGAAACAGCATCTGTATACACAAGGAGCAAGAGCATTTTGGATACACAATACAGGTCCAATTGGTTGCTTGCCATCAACTTTACTTGGCATCAGCAATCCTCCCCCTGGGTTTCTCGATAACAATGGATGTGTCAAGACCCAAAACGACATCGCCAAAGAGTTCAACAGGCAGCTCAAAAATAGAGTGGTGAAGCTCAGGGCAGATCTCCCACAGGCTGCAATCACATATGTAGATATCTATGCTGCAAAGTATGGACTCATCAGCAACTCAAAACAACAAGGTAATCACTAGCTATGGAGGGTCACGGGTCGTGTTTTCGGCCCATCTAAATTCAATCCAAATATAACAGCCCTCCATTTATCGCTCCGCTTGATTCGAGTTGAGGGAAGCTCCACCGACTCGGATTAAAAACCCGCACAGATTCGATATATATAATTCTCATTTTATTGGGTAAAAAAGATTTCATAAAAAAAATTAAGAAATAAGTATTATAGCAATTATCCATAAATATATAAATGTTAAATATACTATTATTCTCAAATGAGGTATTTTTCACCACAAACTTAAGATTGACCCAACATGAATCAATTTTCTTAAAAAACCCAACCTATTGAATCAGTCGAGTCAACTCGTTGAATTTAAATCAAATATCCATTACTACCACTAGCTATGTTTTATGAGTTTAGAGTGCATGTCGAATATGAGTTAATAGGGATAGTAGTGAATAGTGTTGATTTAGATATATAAATATATTTAATCCATTTTTTTAGATTTTGATAATATTCAAATTCAAATATCATAATAATTATTCACAATAAATTCAGAACATATGAAAATATTGATCCTTAAACATCTAGTGATGGGTCTCAATAAATTAATTTGAGTCTACTTAAATTTTTTAATTTTTAGGTTTTAATTGATTTTTTTTAACAAAAGAGGGGGTTTAATGATATTTTCTTAAAGAAAACATATTTATTTCATTTTATTTTTGCAGGATTTGTTGATGCAAAGAAGATTTGCTGTGGATATCATAAGAATGGTATCGACGTGGGATGTGGAGGAATTTTGGCATTACCAAATGGGACTCAAATATCTGGAACTTCATGTAAAGACCCTTCTTCATATATCAGCTGGGATGGTGTCCACTTCACCGAGGCTGCCAATCATTGGATTGCAAATCTCTTATTCAATGGTTCAATTTCAGACCCCCCTATTCCTATCACACATGCATGTTACCATACTTGATGAGCCATAGTCTGCTTATCGTATACGTTACTCGAATTCAGATGAAAATATCATAATATATATGTATCAAATACATTATCATTTCGATTATTGATACAAAATAAATAATTATTATTATTATATAATTTTTTCTAATGTACATTTATTTTCTTTAACGCCATTAATTTAATCACTTTCATCACTTTAATTTTTCTCTCGAATCGAACTTAAGTTCCAGTAAAACTTAATCAAGCTCAAGATGAAAGATTATATTTCTCCACAACGCTCGGTCTTTGGACATGAACAAAAAATCAAATAATTTAAAAAAATTCAATAATATCTACAAGATCAACACAAAAGGCTTAACATGCAAATTCATACTTGAAATTAATTGAAAAAAAAATCTAAATCGGTATTTGATTTTTTTGGGGTAGGATTGTTGGGAAATAAACAAAAACGAGTAATTTCCCTATAACCAGATTAGTGAGACTGCGAAATAAAAGCGGAAAAATAATACCCGAAATTGATAATGTAGTTCAACCAATTTTGCATACGTCTCCAGACTGCTGCAGATCTTTTACTAAAGAGAGAAAATTTACAGGTATTTACAAAACACTCACTACTCATAAGAGAACTCTCTAAACTCTTTAGTATTGGGAGAAAGAAACGATTTTGGGATGATTTTAAAGCTAAATGGGATAGGGTATTTATAGTTGAAGCTTAAGGACTAATCTTATAAATACTCTAAACTATACAGGGACTAAAATGTAATTTCCCCATTTTTTCCAATAAAAATTACCAACCCATTAAATCAAGCATCATTCGGTGCCAACCTTTGAAATTATGCATCAACCTTTGAAATTTATCCGGCGGTGCCCACCCTTTTTTACTTTACAATCTCCCACTTGAAGACTAATTTTAATCTGTCTTCACACCTCGATCAATGCATCAGCATTTCTGGTCTCGTTACTCTAGCATCCCAACTGAAGTTGAACACAACTTTAGTTTGTCCATAGTCACCGTTTTTGTTAACATGTCTGCCGGATTTTGAGATCCACTAATCTTTTCAAGTTTCAAAATCCCATTTTCCAGAAGAGACCGGATAAAATGATATCGCAATTGTATGTGCTTCGTCCTGGAATAAAAAGACGGATTCTTCGCTAGATGGATGACATTTTGATTGTCGCAATACAAGACATTGTTTTCTTGTTTCTTGCCTAACTCTTCCAAGAAACTTTGGAGCTAGACCATCTCCTTGCTAGCTTCCGTAACAACGACATATTCTGCTTCAGTTGTGGAGAGAGCAATTATATTCTGTAGTTGAGAAACCCAACTCACTGCAGTACCTCCTAGAGTATAGACATAACCAGTAGTGCTCCTTCTGATGTCAACATTTCCGGCTAAGTCAGCATCTACATAGCCTGTCAGTATCGTATCTCCACCTTTGAAACAAAGTGCTTTGTTTGTAGTACCCCGCAGATATCTGAGGACCCATTTGACTGCTTCCCAGTGTACCTTGCCCGGATTATTCATGTACCTGCTAACAACTCCCACTGCATGAGCAATATCTGGTCTGGTAGAAACATGGCATACATCAGACTTCCAATTGTTGAGGCATGCGACACCTTTACCATGTGTGTACGTTCTTCCTCCGTCTTTGGTGACTGTTCTTTGGAGAGTCTAAAATGAACACCTAAAGGTGTACTTACTGGTTTAGCATCTTGCATGTTGAATCTAGAGAGTACTTTGTTGATGTACTCAGCCTGTGATAACATCAAGGTCCCCAACTTTGTGTCTCTCTTAATCCTTATCCCAAGAATCTGCTTTGCAGCGCCCATATATTTCATTGCAAATTGCTTCGACAATTTTTGCTTCAAGTTTATAATCTTTTGCATGTCTGAGCCTGCAACGAGCATGTCATCAACATACAACGATAAAATAATGAAGTTGTTGTCGAACTTCTTGACGTAGCAATGATCTGTTTGACATATGGTAAAATAATGCTACCCATGAAACTATCAAACTTTTTATACCACTGTCTAGGAGCTTGTTTTAAACCATACAAGCTCTTCTTCAACCTGCATACCAGGTGTTTCTTGTCTCCCTCTATGAAGCCTTTTAGTTGCATCATATAGATTTCTTCCTCCAAATCACCATGAAGGAAAGCTGCCTTCACATCTAACTGCTCAAGATGTAAATTCTATGTAGCTACAATTTTCAACACCAGTCTGATTGTAAACAGTTTCACGACTGGAGAGAAAATTTCATTATAGTCAATACATTCTTTTTACTGAAAACCTTTGACAACCAATCTTGCTTTGTAGCGTTTTCTCCCATTGTGCTCTTCTTTGATTCTGTAAATCCACTTGTTATAGAGCGCTTTCTTGCCTGATGATAATTCAGCTAATTCCCACGTTTGATTTGACATAAGCGAGTACATCTCATCTTTCATGGAAGACTCCCACTTGACTAAATCCTCCACCTGCATTGCTTCATCATAGCAATCTAGTTCACCATTGTCAGTCAGCAAGAAGTAGTGTAAAGAATGCGAATAACGCTGGTTGGTTTAGGAATTCTGGTGGAGCGTCTCAGTTCTGGTGTGCCTGGTTCTTCTTGAGCTGCTTCAGGATTGATATGAACATCATTTCCAGAAATCTCCTCAAACTCAACAAATTCTTTTGTTTCAGCTTCAGTATTGGAGCTACTTGATTTTATGGTTGACCTGTCTTTGTACATCACATTTTCATTGAAAATGACATCTCTGCTTCTGATGATCTTCCGATTTTCATAGTCCCAAAACCGGTAACCGAACTTATCACCACCATAACTAAAAAAGACATATTTGTTGGACTTGGCATCAAGTTTGCTTCTTTCAGCATAATTTATGTATATATAAGAAATATAACCAAACACTCTTAAATGTGAAATGTTTATTTCTTCCTTGCTCCAAACTTCCTCTGGCACCATCCAAAGGAACTGAAGGCCCACTGTTGATCAGGTAAGCTGCAGTGTTGATAGCTTCATCCCATAGCAATTTGGACAATCCGGCATATATCCTCATGCTTTTGGCATGTTCATTCAGAGTTCTGTTCATGCGCTCTGCTACACCATTCTGCTGCGGTTTTATGGGAACTGTTGTCTCCATCTTGATCCCATTGTCTGCGCAGAAATCTATGAAATCTATTATTTCTATACTCTCCTCCATTATCAGACCTCAATCGCTTGACTTTCAAACCAGTCTCATTTTCCACCATGACCTTCCATTTTCTGAAGGTATCAAAGACTTTTGATTTCTTCTTTAGAAAATAAACCCACACCTTCCTTGTATAATCATCGATGAAGGTGACATAATATAGTGAGTCTGCAAGAGATGGAATTGGAGATGGTCCTCATACATCAATATGAACCAACTCTAACTTTTTAGCCTTGGCTGCCTTACCAATCTTTGCAAAAGTGACTTTCTTTTGTTTGCCAAAGATGCAATCCTCACATAGTCCGACATCTACATTATTTAGATATCGCAGCTTCTCTTTTAACAAAAGTGTCTTCATCCCTTTCTCGTTCATATGGCCAAGCCTTTGGTGCCATAGGTTTGATTTTCCATCAGCATCTGCTACTGTAATGACATTCTCTAAATTTGAGGTTATAAAGAGTATCAGTCTTCTTACCACGAGCAATGACGAGTGCTCCTTTGGTAATTTTCTATTCACAAGCCTGAAAAGGTTATACTATATTCTTCTCCATCAAGTTGTCCTACATAAATCAAATTTCTTTTGTGGCCAGGAATATGTCTGACTCTTTTCAGCTTCCAGGTGGTCTGGTTTGGCAACTTTAATCAAATGTCTCCTTTTTCCGACGATCTTTAAGGTTTCATCATTAGCTAGATGAACCTTCCCAAAATCACCACTGACATAGTTTTCCATGATTTCTTGGTTTGGGGTAGAGTGGAAAGATGCCCCTGAATCCAAGATCCATGATTCAATCGGACTGTTGACGCTTAGAATCATGGCATCACCTGTCTCATCTGTCATGTTGGCAGATTCCTGTTTGTCGATATCTTTCTTCGGTGCTCGACAATATATTTTAAAGTGGCCCTTCTTGCCACAATTATAACAGTTAACATCTTTCTTTCCCATTCTTGATTTTCCCCTCTGGATTTCGATCTGCCACGATTTGAATTTCTTTATGAAGTTCTCCCTCTAGACTCCGTGTGCAAGGTTGAGGAGCTTGATGCTTCACCCGATTCTCTCTGTCGAATTTCTTCACTCAATACCAGATCCTGAACATTGTCGAATTTTAATTTGTTGTTTCCTGACGAGCTGCTGACTGTTGTAACAGTAGCATTCCAACTGTCTGGTAGAGATGATAAGAGAATTAAAGCTCGAACTTCATCATCGAATTCAATTTCCACAGAACTCAACTGGGATGTGATTGTGTTGAGTTCATTTAGGTATTGAGCCACTGATGCCCCTTCCGCCATCCACAAATTAAATAATCGCCTCATCAAGTGAACTTTGTTTGAGGCTAATGGTTTCTCATACATACTGGAGAGAACCGCCATAAGACCCGCCATTATCTTTTTCTTTGCTATGTTGAAAGTCACATTGCAGGATAACGTCAGACGGATAACTCCGAGGGCTTGTCTGTCGAGAAGAGCTCAATCTTCATTTTTCATGTCCTCTGGTTGCTTTCCTGAAAGAGGTTGATATAGATTTTTCTGGTACAAAAATCTTCAATATACATCTTCCAAAAGCCAAAGTCTGCACCATCAAACTTTTCAAATTTCACCTTCCCTTCGTCTATAACCATCGCTCCCACTCGAATCTGGCTTCGTTTGGATCGTTTCTAACAATTCTTGCGAACCACCATGTATTAGAACACCTCCGTCGACAAATTCATATCACAGATAAAATTTTTATTATTCACAAAATTCACTATTCATGTGAATAGTAATGAATAGTAACCTCGCAAAAAAACCAACAAAATTCACCACCAAAAGCTCTAGATACCAGTTGTTAGGAAATAAACGAAAACGAGTAATTTCCCTATAACCATATTAGTGAGAATGCGAAATAAAAGCGAATAAATAATAC